GTTATTGTTGTGTGCTGTTTTGTTTTATTTGGGGTTATTTTCTCACTTTTCATGCACTTTCCTGTCTCTATGTCTTTCTCTCTTCGCTTAGTTCTTATCCCCTCTTTCTTTCTCACCACCCTTTTAGTCTCCTTTTAGTCTCCTATTTTACTCCATAAATCATTTTCAGTAAGGTTTAATATACAAGTATAAAGCAGAACCCTATTGCAAAAGTCACGATGGTCTGCAAATCGAAGCCATATTGGCAAGACAGGACACACTAAAAAATTTTGGTGACAGTGTCCAGATAAGAAAATGGACTTGAGCGTATAGATACACACAACAGTTAAATTTATGCATATGAAAAAGAAAATCTTTTTAAAGTGCAGCAAAAGATAAAAACACATTTCAAAGAAAAAAATAGTTGTGAGATTATTGAAAAAATGAGATACCAAGAAAAAAGGAGAAATTTTATCATTAAAAAAAGGAAAGAAAACAGCATCTGATTGGCAGAGGGATAAAAAAAAACTGTGAATAAACTATTACTGCTGAGTAACATTTTCAGAAAAGGTAAAAATCAATGCATAAATTGATTAATAGAAATGTGAATAATGTATAAAAGCACAAAGCAAGCAGATTAGAAGCTGTAAAAATAATGGTAGGCATTAATGCATTAACAGGGGTAACAATAGAATAGAGCCAGTTTTCACATTGAAGACACAAAGTAAAGGTGCAATCAAAATATAATATAACTCATTGTTTATACATTTTTTTTCCTTTTAGACCAAATGAAAAAATGTAGCTCCAACTGCAACTAATAGAAAAAATTTCTGTGATTATCCATGGCAACTGCTCTCCTCTAGATCCTGTGGGTACAATTATAAAGTGTGAGTTAACAAACAACAACCTGCTCTGCAATCACATCTCATAGCTCTCTCTAAGCTAATCCAATTTGGTCTTGGAGAGCTGTCAAGAAAACAGTAACAAAATTATATTTGAAGTTTCATCACCCACCTTCCATCCTACTCGCTTGCATAATGTATCAGCATATAAACACTTTTCCCTTCTCTTGCTGAAAATAAACAGTATGTAATTAATGCCAGTTTGGCAGAGATTTACAGCTTGAATTAGATTTTAAAGGACTCAATATTGTAGACCAGTTGGGGTTTTGCCCAACCAGTTCACTTGTGACCTGGGGAAGATTTTTCAACTGTGCCCCTTGTGGTGCCCTGTGGGGGTCACTACAGGAATATGGAATCAGGTTTGCATTGGCAGCTTCCCCCTGAGGAGCTGCAGGAGGTGTCAGGGTACAGGGAAGTCTGGGATTGTCTGCTGAGACTGCTGCTCCTGCAATGTGGTACTGGATAAGCAGAAGACAGCGAAGCTATCAAAGAAAAAAAACACATATTTCATATGACTAATTAAACTAATTCCTCCTGTCATGCTGGTATTCAAATTGAAACAGTGAAGTGGACCAAATATTTCTTTTTTTTTTCAATAATTCTTAAGGTGATACTTTATACACCCATAAAGATCTAACTTCTACAAATAATTTCTCGATTTAATAGACTATTATAAATGTAATGGTTCAAACTTTTAGTACAACTGCCGTTTCAGTCTATTTTTTTTTTTGTATATTTTTTCTTCAAAAGAAAAAACAAAACACTTTTACTAAATAACTTACCCTTTTATGTTATCCTGAATTTATAAAAAAAAACATCAACAAAACAGCTACTCAGCATCTCTTTCAAACCGAACACAATAAAAACCTAAATGTTGATACATACTGCCATCTGGTGGAAATTTATACCTAGGCATCATCAGTTTTGTGTTATAGGCCTACTGTTTTTTTTTCTTCTTCTTTTTTTTCTGAAGCATTAAAGCATTAAAAATACTTTATATTGACAGGCAACCTTCCACTAAGATTGACCGGAACCCACTGCTAATTCTTGGCATTTAATGCCACATTTTACGACCCTGAATGCATTTAGATAAGCCACTTTAACTTCAGGGTGTTTACTTTTGTGGACAGTTTAAATCCATCTAACTCCAGCAAAAGTTTTTGGAAGACTTTAAAAGTGTAGCATAATGTGGGAGGGTATATGAAGTTCAGGGCATATATCAGTCCCATGAGCAGCGAGCAGGCTTTTGCAGCACTGTTGCACCCTGCCAAAATGCGAGTCATTGGGACTACCTCTTGCTCTGTGTGTGATCCTAACATCTGGACTCGGAGCAGAATCAGTCCTTCTCTCAGCTACAGTGCACATGCACCGTGCGCGCATTTCGAAACGCTACATTCTTAGAGTGAAGTTAATGTAGTATGTTGGCCTGATGAAGAGGATGCTGAGGGTTGTCTATAATTTATTGAAATATGCTCCTTCAAAACATCACCTCCAAAGGTTCTAGAAGTCTTCACTTTCTTAATTTCCTTGTAAAGATTCTTTAAGTCAGGTGCTCTGATGATGGCAGGATATCAAACTCTCCACAACAGGCCTTTAGAGCATGTGCAGCATCTTGCCGCAGACACGGAAGGACCAAAACCTCAAGAAGATCAGGCTGCTCTGTCCCTTTTTGTAGATAGCTTCAGAGTTGTATTACTAAAAAGCAGGTCAGCAGCATCTAACCTGCTTTTTATTTCTCCTAAAGACAGGGCAGACATTTTATGACATAGATCCCAAACTTTGGAACAGATTGTCTTTAACCTTTAGACAGGAATCTTTGCATCATTCTTTTCTCTTAAAAAGATTTGGAGTGCTTCATATGTGTGATGGATGTCTTACTTTTTTTAAATTTGTATTCATTTATCTTATTACAAGAAATGCTTTTGGGAAATTTCTCTTTTACATTGCATTATATTTGGATTTAATCGTTGTTTCCTGCATTTTTAGATAATGGAACCTTGTTTCCATTAAATTAAACCAAAGTATTTAACACAGAATTTAACAATAACTTACATTGTCTTTGGTTGATATTAAAATTTGGTTAATGATCTAAAATGTTTGAAACTATGACATACATACTGTCTTTTCACCACCATTGAATTCAATTCAAGTCACTTTATTTATATAGCATCTCTTCACAATGCAGCACTTTAAAAAGACAATCCATTTAGATCATACAGTCAGATTGGTTACGTTTTCTATAAAAAGAAAACCAGCAGATTGCATTGACTAATTGAGTCGACAGTAATCCCTCATACCAAGCATGCATGTAGCGACACTGGAGAGGAAAAACTTCCACCTGCCGATGGAAGGATCAGGTTATTTGCAGATTGAACCATCTCCATTTATTCTCTGCAGTCTTGTCAGTCACTTTCCTCTGCCTGACTCGGACAGTTTAAAAAGGATAAAAATGCTAAAGAAAAGCCAACTCCGATATTATCAGCCTAAGTTTTCTTTTTAACAGAAACTGCTCAAATATAATTATGTCTTTCAAAAAATTGAAATACAACAACTTTGAAGACTACAATTAAATATTGTGTGTCTTGAATAATTAATTCACTCTAACACACCGAGTTAATAAAATGCTGCTCTTGACACAGCAGGTGGGGTTTTATTAATGTTTGTGCTGTTGCAGTGTAACAGCAGAACACAAAGTACAAGTAAACAGAGATAACCCCAATGATGCAAAGCATTATATAGTGACAGGCGGTTACCTTTACATCAGGTTTGTATAAACATTTAGACAAGTACAAAATTGGATTTACAATGTGTGGATGGGGAAATACATTTTCATTAAGCAAATGATGACACAGTCTGCTTAGGACAATAGTGAGGTGTTTATCATCTCACTTCAGACTATATGTTATTAAAAATGGGAATTTTTGGTCTCAAGACTGAAGCAACACAGAGACTTCAGCTTACAGGAAGCAGTTTGGAGCTGATCATTTTTGCCTCCCTGTACTTTTTTCCCCGCTTGGATTTCATTTCCAAGTTTCCATATTTACAAAGGCACAAAACTAATGCAAAAAAAAAAAATGTTTTTTTTTTTTTCATCCCAATTTTACTTCTTTAGAAATCCGGGTTAAATGTTTATTTTCTTTTTTTTTTTTTTCCATACATCTTTAGAGTGTAGTATAATACATTTACTAATGAGCAAGATTAGGAGTACAACAGTCTTTATTTCAGCGAGGCTTTCCACATTCTCTAGGAAAGCATTCTTTTAAGGATTACTTGTTATTTGCAGTAGCTCTGTTAGACATTCAAAACGCCCTTGGGTCATTCTGCTTGGGTCAGGTGAAACATAGACAGAATGTGCATTGCAAATTAGCTTGTTGGTCATATATTCACTATGATTCGGAGGGCCATTTGTGCACTTTAATCACTTGTGTTTCCAAGCTTTATGCTAAGCCCAAACAGCTCCTGAAAATTACATAAAATCATCACTAACTTATATATATATATTTATATATATATATATATATTTATATATATATATATATTTATATATATATATACATACCTAAGACACTACAGAAATAAATACAAAGATGAAAAAGATTTTTCAAAGAAGCCCTTAAACTTTGGAGTCAAATTTACATTTACCTACAATCCCTTATGAAAGATTTCTGTTGCTGTTCTTAAATTATAAGCTCTTTAAAAGAATAAGCTCAATAGCTGCTTCATGAAGAGGCAATTGAGCTACAGCTGCTTAGCAGATTTAGATCTACGACATTTAGATCTACGAGTGTGTCAGTCAGATAGATTCATCACAATAATATTCATAATGACTAATCAGAGCAGCATGTCTCTTTACAGGATAGTTTCTTCTCATCTTCAATCATAACCTTCGTATTATTCTTGGAATTTTGGGACAGCCTTGGCAAATTGAAAAAGGTCAATCGTTTGTGCAGAGCCACATGTGAAAGCCCCAATATTCTGCTTGATGGTCTTCGACAGCGAAGCAGCTCTCCATAGGCTTGTCGGAAATCCCTATTAAATGCTGGATAGAGAATTGGATTAAGAGTTGAGTTCAAATATCCGAGCCACAGGACAATTGAATGGAGCGTATTAGGGGGGTTTGTTTTTTCCTTTACACCCATCCAGGTGAAATAGGTGAAGTAGGGAAACCAGCAAATAATAAATGCACCAAGTACAGCTGCCAGGGTGACTGTAGCCTTGTGCTCACGGGCTATGGCAGCAGTTGCAGAGCGTGCAAATGATGGGGTGGTAGCACGGATACGTCTAACCTAAAAGATCAGGGTAGGGTAGGAGAGGAAGAGGAGACAAAAAAAAAAATTTTGATTAAATCTAGTAACAGAATTAATAATGCAGTAAAAGCAGAATATATAAGATGTCATTTCATTTCCATCTGCTTTCTTAATAATTAATAATAAGGTTGATTATGATGAAAGCAGCACTTGTGCATGGCGAAAAGATAGAAAAAGTTAATAAGTTGCTTATTAGCCTTTCTGGTTTTTACAGTTGTAGCAAGAAATTAAACATTTTACAACAGCTGTAACTATGACAATCCTGGCAAGACAAAGAATTGGGTTTGTAATGCTACAGTAAGAAATAAACCTAAATCTTTGAAGGTTGCCAAAGAGAGCGGCAGCGAACATATTTCAAGGGCAGCGGTGTGAATTTGTGTGGATTGCTCTCTCAAAATTAATACTTTGTCGCTAAAGTGGAAAGTTTGTACTAGAATTTTTAAAAACTTTTCAAATGTTTTTACATTTAATGTCATTTAAAGTGTTATAAAAGGCTAATGGGAATATTAAAATTACGTGTCTAGTTTTAAAGGGTTTCAGTGTGCAGAGTTTTAAAGACAAATAAAAAATTCACACAAACCTGTTCTCGTGCGACTCGGAAAATGCAAAAGTACATTACACACATAACCAGCAGTGGCAAGTAAAAAGAGCCAAAGGCATAAATAAGAACATAGTTGTTATTCCACTCAAACTGACAGTACAGTCCTTTATCAGTCCCCTCATCCCCAAATTCCCAGTCCAAATTCTGTACTCTGTAGTCTGCTGTATTCCAGCCAAGATGGATGGGCATAAAGGCGAAAGTCAATGACAGAACCCAAATGGATATGATGGTGAATGTCACCCTCCGAGGGGTGACTCTTTGAGAGTGGCTGAGGGGAGACGAAATGGCCAGGTACCGGTTCACACTGATTGCCAAGAGGGTCAGGATGGAGCATGTACACAGCATGACATCCATTGAGATGTAGATGTTACACAAAGTTCCTCCAAAAGGCCATTTCCTGCTGCGCAGCTCCAGCGTGGCAGACAAGGGGAGTACCAACACACCAAGAAGAAGATCCGCAACTGCCAGGGACACTACAAAGCAGTTAGCTGTTCGCCACAATCGTCGCCTGAGACCCACTGCCAAGCATACAAGTACATTACCTCCAATGGTCAGAATTATAACAGACAGGAGGAACAGCCAACGGAGACCTGTGGCGTAAGTCATTTCTGCCACTATAGTGTCACTTTAAGCTCAAGTCTAAATGTTTTAAAAGTATCATCAACTTGTCCAAACGTTTTCCTTGGCAGCCGGTTTACTTATTAAAAAAAAAGGTTTTCCTGTAGGAATCAGTGAAGGGTGATCAGCTTCAGAGGCACATCACTGTGTGGGTAGTCCTTCTCCAACATGTCTTTTTAAACACTGAAAGTGTTGTTGAAGTGAATAAGTTCCTGAAAAAGAAAGAATAAAAAAGAGTTTACTGATATTTTTAAGAATTTTACGTTTTCACATAAATGCATTCTTTGATTACTGTATATCGCCACAAACATCTGACGATAACTCTTCTACTGTAATTTTTTAATGCATCCTCTATAGACTTATCAATCAACCGAAAAAAAAAAAAAAAAAAAACTCTTATCCTACTTAAAAGACATCCTGATTCTTTTCAAATGTAGGAATGTATTTATAACCCTGTAATGCTTAAAAAGGTGTTTTCTGAATAGCTGTCATTATGTTAAAGTATGTCTTATTGTGGTTAACTTTCATTACTTTGATAAAAATTGTAATGCAATTTAAACTTCATACGATTTATAGGAGGTCAATTTGCAGGGTTCCCACCTTTACTTGTCACATTTATTTTCTCTAACATAGGTGTTATCCACAGGGAGTGTTGGCCTAGTTGATTAGAGCAGTTTGCTTGTTATTCTGAGAAGGTTGCCAGCACCCTGTTTGATCCCCACGGCCTTCACTCTGGGTCTCTGAGCAAAAACCTTAACCACACACTGCTCCCTGATCGCCGCACAATGGCAGCCCGCTTCTCCTCAAAGGGGATGGATTAAATGCAGAGTTAAATCCTCCATTGTGAGATTAATAAAGTTCAAATCCTAAGTGGTTTGCAGTATTTCTTTGTAGCAGGTATAGGGGTGAATCAGAGACAGTACCTCCAAGAGATCTCTTTTAATAGTTCAATCACTAAATCAAAACACATCATCAGCTGTCATCTATGTTTCACTAACAAGCTAGAGCCCTAAATCAGGACTGACATTTTAAAGTTGGTGAGCTTTTTTTCCTTATATACTTTACAACATTTTTTTTACATTAGTTTTTTTGATGTGATGTATTGTTATAAATGTCAAATTATTTAAGTTTTGTTTTTACAAAATTATTTTATAGTCAAATAAACAAATCCGCGTGAAAACTTTTATAGGCACTGCACACAGTCTGCTATCCTCTTCTCATGGTTTGTTTTAATTATAAACTGTTTATTTTTTTCATTGAAAGACATTAATCTCTAATTTCCCTTTAGAATAAAATTAGTCTTCTAATATTTTGCTGTGCTACATCTAATATATGATCATTAGGCATTATCAGAGCATCTTGCAGATTAGCATCTTGCAGTGGAACACAAAATAACTGCTTTTCAGTTTTCTGGAAGTAACATTTAATAAAGCAGTTATACATTTAAGAGTGTTTGTAAAAATCTGGCAGTAAATTTAGTAAAGCAAAGTCATAAGGCAGTCTGTTATAAACAATCTTAAAAACAATTATCAAGGGGTTATATAAACGTCTTTCAAAATAACTTGACATAAGAAAATTTATTACATCCTCCCACACAGTTTAAAAAAAAGGAAAGCTATTACAGAGCTGTTTGATTTCAGTGTATTTGCAGAAGTTAACATTGTAAATGCATCTATATATATATATATATATATATATATATATATATATATATATATATATATATATATATATAAATTACAGTTATTTATCTCTTTATATTTCAGAACAGACAAATTTAAACAAAAATTGTGATAACTGTGCTAGTTATCAAGTTTTGTGACCTATTTCAATGTCCCAACTCTCCTAAGTAGTGAGGCCAAGATAATGGTGATGAATGAAATTTAGGCCATCCACACATTATTTAATAATAAACAGGCTAAACTAATTTTGCAGCAACAGCTAATTTAATTTGATGATGTCAGACAACATTTCTTGGCATTGCCAATAAATCAATCAGAGAAGAAACAGAAACAAAGTACTTTAGCTCATGCCATTTCTCAAGCATTTAGACTGTAGGTTTCTGTGACTACAATGAATAATAGAATTAATATCGACTGTAGAAGAAGTACATGTCTCAATAATAATTTGATTTAATTTACATAATATATTCCATTCTGCTACATTCTAAATCCTTTAAGTACTTAATTGACCTTGTTTTAGTTCACTTAATTAACTTCCAATATAGAAAATAGGCAACTTTATGTTCGCTTAGAAATGTAAAATGAAAACCACTTGCAAAAAGGTCAAAATAACAACTTTTCAAAGGAAAAAAAGTCTAATTCAGTTGCAAGTTTCAAACCTTCCATCTGCCGTTAAATTGACCACATATTACAAAAGCAATATTCAGTATAGTTAATAAGGCTCAGAGATAAGATGCTGTATCTACACCTCTATCTGTATGACGTATGTTAAACTCTACACACTCATTTATGTTGTTTGTAAAGTAAATTTTCAGCAGCTATGGAAACTTTTAATCAGACTTCCATTCATGTGTTTTGTGGCAGTCCCTGTTAGATTTCCTGGCAGTAGAAGATTTAAAATATTTTTTTTATAGCAAGTTTTTATCTTCACAAGTTTTTCTCAAATATGTAATAAAACCTATTTATTGTAAGCATCTTGTACAGACAATATATAATACTATTTCAAATAACTAGATATTTTTATAATTAATAAAATAATGTTCATTTACTCAGACCCCCTTTACAGTATTGTGTATATTCTTTGCTTACCCATGGTATATAAAGATAACATGTCTTTATCTTTATTTAATGCTGGTCCTTGAGCGCTAGTTTCCTGTCCTGCATCATCTAATTTCCATGGACAGTTGATTTACAGTCCTTGTTAAACTGCAGTCATCTGAAATACAGTAGGTGTTTAAAAGCAGGGAACTTCAAGGACTGTATTAGAACATCCCTGTTTTATGCCTCTAATATAGGAACATATATTTTGTAATGTTATATACTGTTTAGACATGTAGACAGATTTTTTTTAACAGCATTTTACCTCAACTACACATTGTAATAAAAAAAATTCCTCTCTATGAAATGTACCTAAGTGCAAATGTAAATATCTGTGCAAAGATGTTATAATAGTATTTAAAAATAGCAAGCAACGCTTAACAGAAACTCAGTTTGCAATGATAACTATCAACTCACTTGATATAATTGACATGGCTTAAATGGCAGCAAATGAGCAACAGTCTTTTTAGTAATTTAGCTGTTAAATATTTACATAAGTATTATTAATCTATGATTTTTAACACTCCATTCACATACTTACTAAAAAGCAAAACGCTTCCAATTCAAGATAGTCACAAGTTCATAATGTATGAAAATTTTAAAAAAGCTGTGTTGAGACAAGAGAAAAAGTCATTAAACAGGTGGTAACCTGTGTGTTTTCTGAAATTAGTAATGACATAGGGGGATGAATACAAATGCATGACACAATTTTGCGAAATATCACAATTCCACAAAATGTGACACACTTGAATACATACACTCATTTTTTGTAGTAATTTTTTGGTTTACATAATAAGCTTAAACATTTCAAATGTAGTGTTTAATTATTAGAGCAATCAATCTAAAATGCTCCTTTATACCTGGGCAGACTACCAGCTTTCAGTCAGTCATAAAAAGTGCCACTACTACTGTGTTTGTCTAAACTGCCAATGTTTGACTCCAGCTGTGCTCCAGGCAACTTCTTCCTTTGCCTTAAGAATCTGAATAAACTGTTCACAGGTAGAGGATAAAAACTCACTTGACAAACTGCAAAGGCAAACAGTCAGAGTTACTACAAAACATTATATGAAGTAAATCAGGATTATATTAATATCATTATACCATTATCATGATTTTACTAAGATCTGTCAGTGATATGCTAAAACAGATCAGGGTGAAACACAATCCTGTGACTTAATGAATGATTTAAAATATTTGTACAGCCCTTTGTATAATTTATTTTATTATTTCTTGTAGAGACTTACAGCCCAGATGCAAAATTATATCTGATTTGTTTAGGGGAAGATATCCTATGTAGATATAGTTGGATAGAGTTTGATATAATTTGTGAAATACTGCATATAGTGTACAATTTTCTTGTAAACCATGCATACATAGTCAAACAGAATTTGCTGATCCCAGAGCTATAGTCAAATCCTGTGCTGAAAATAAATGTAGGCCTTAATGATTACCCCAATGAGAGCTAACACTGTCTTTTTATTTGTTATATACAACAAAATTATTTTATTGCTTAATACCATGGTTCAATTGGCAGCACAGTCCTTTTAAGCACACAAAAATAAGATGATTTATTACCCAAATCTAATATTATATTGTTTCAACAACACATCTGCACAGAACAATAAAAAAGCTGTATAATTAGGAAGGTATATGAGCTATGTACAGTAAGAAAACAATAGCCAGGCTAACATCCTGAATCACTAAACTAAGATGTGAAGAGGCTGGTAAGCAGGTTGAAGCAAATATTTCAAACCATAAATGCAAAATTCAAGGAAGTTTGCTTTAATTTCTTAGTAAAATCTCAGATGTCGAATCTGCTGTAATGGTTTGTATGTAGTTGACTAAAGTAAAATATATCTGACATTGTATTACTTATAGTAACCTCTCTAGGTCAAATCTTTATCTAAACTAGCTGCAGGAAACTGAGAGAATAAACAGATATAGAGTTTACACCAATCGATTTATTACTTAAATTTCAAATGGGGTTAAAAAAAGAAATAAATAAATACATAAGTGTACAGAGTGTTCCTCTGTCTGTTATACGTCAGCTCCTTCTTGGTGGCCATAAACACTTTTGTTTTCTATTTTTATTTTTCCATACTTTTAGAACATACTCTCATGCAGTCAATGTTTAACCATAAAAGGTGACATTTCTATTTTACTAAGCAACACATATATCGGCTTAAGCACCGTATGTCAAATCTATCTCCAAGATCTTTACATATTGCAATGCTGTTTTTGGAAGAACAACATTTTAAACTTAAGTCATAATCTGTTTGTTTTATTTTAGATTTAAATATTCACCCGATATTAGCTATAAAGTTAAAGCAAAAACATGTATTACACATACCATATTTTCTGCTCCCGTCTGTCTCCTAGACCATGCTTGTTCTCATGTTTCTCAGTCCTGTCTATGAGTATATTTATTACCCACTGCTTCCCTTTCTCAGTCTCCACCCCCACACTTAGCAGCTTTCCTCCTATTTGTGTCATGAACAAATACACTTTGAACTCGGTCAGTTTAGCTTATTATAATAGCATAACAGAAATTGCAGAAATACCTGATGTACAACTCATTCAACATGCCGAGCATGTTCCACATGTTTACCACACTTCAGTGTTTCAGATCATCAATCAAATTTTGATTGGGCCTATTCAGTAAATACAGAAAGATATTTCAATCAATTACTTAAACTGTGGAGTGAAATAGGGATCCAAACTTACCTCAACATGCATGAAAACGTGATCACCTCAATTTGCTAATTCATCGACTGACCTTAGACACCTTTTGTGATTCAGTTTCATCAGCATCACCATGGCCTGACATCTTCAGAGCTTAATTCAATAAAAAATAATTTCAGTTTCTATATATAGTGCCAATTCACAACAGAATTCAACTCAAGACACTTTATAGAGACAAGTGAACCAGATCATACAGTCAAATTGATTCAGTTTTCTATCTAAGGAAAACCAGTTGAATGCATCGACTCATTGACTCAGAGGCAATCCCTCAAATTAAACATGCTTGAAGCATTAGTGGAGAGGAAAACTCCCTTTTACTGGGAAGAAACCTCCAGCAGAACCATGCTCGGTGTGAGCTGCCCTCTGCCGAGGCCGACTGGGGTTAAAGCAGACAGAAGCAGAAGCAAATATACAAAAGGCAACTGTCAACTAGCTTCATAGGCCACCCCGTCCAGGAAACAAACAGCGAGGCAGACAAGCTCAGAGCCAGCACCCATGTCAGAGGATGACAGAGAGCACATACAGTTAGTCCAAATAAGAGAAACAGGACTACACTGAAAAACAGGCCAAGCATCTGCAGTTCCCAATGGAAGCAGCACAGCTTCTCTCCAGGATGGTGTAACAGCCAAACAGGAACAGACCAGATGAAGCTACTATGAGAAAAAGCCGAGAGAGCATAGAGATTGAACTAACAAATTCTGCAGAGTGAGAGAATAAAGATAGAATGAAGCAGTATGAGGAAAAAGGGGTCCCTATGTCTTCAAGCAGTCTCAGCCTATAGCAGGCTATAGACATCGCTCAGGATAACCTGAGCCACTCTAACTACGTATACGCTTTATCAAAAAAGAAAGTTTTAAGCCTGATAACTAAAAGATCTGCCTCCCATTCTACTTTTAGAAATTCTAGGAACAACTCCTGAACCTGCAGATTGAGAGCAAAGTGCTTTGTTGGTAACATAAGTAACAATCCTCTCTCTGATGTAAGATGGAGCTTGGCCATTTAAGGGTTTATATGTGAGAAGGAGGATTTTAAATTCTATTCTGGGTCTACGAGGAAGCCAATAAAGGGAAGCCAGGATAGGAGAGATATGATCTCTCTTTTTAATTTTCATCAGAACTCTGGCTGCAGCATTTTGGATCAGCTGATGGCTTTTAACTACAGTTTGTGGACTTCCTGATAGTAAAGAATTACAATAGTCCAGCCTTGAAGTAACAAATGCATGGACTAGTTTCTCAGCATCATCCCTGAGCAGGATATTTCTAATTTTTTTCAATATTTTCAATAATACAGATGAAAGACTGCTTTTTCAAAGACCCTGGTCCAAAGACTATTTGAATTTGCATATAGCTTATGAATCCTTTAAAACTCTCATTTTCAGCTATTGCAAATGCTAACACAGACAAACATATTTTTCATTGTTAAAAAAATAGGCTGGTAGAGCAGACTTGGTTTACAAAAAAAATAGCAGTTTTTGGTAAGCACAATTTGCCTTTCAAAGTGCAGATCATTAGCTTCGAAATAAGAATTTTGAAAACGAGATTTCTCCCCCTATCATATTTGATTATGTGAGTTTTTTTTGTTTGAGAGGGAATGTATGGAAAATGGCTAATTTAGTGGAAAAGGCCCTAACCTTTGAATCCTGCAGAACAGAAACATCGATGAGGAATCAATCGTTGGAAAGGTCACAAACATAAACCAAAAAAAAACAAAAACTGTGCTCAGATTTTTTTTCAAAAATAGAATGTTCCACTGCAGTTCTGTGACTTTGAGGATCTAACACATATTTTTTATTAACATTTTCTTCCTTTCTTTTCTGGATTATATTTTTCTTTTTTAAATAACCGTGAGGAAAAAAAAGTTATATTTGCATGCCGCCAATGGAGGGAAAAGCATTTTGTCGTTATCCATTTTATAATAGTTTTATGATCTGGAGGATTTTAATGATTTTAACACCAAAAAAAACAAAAAACAAAAACAAAACAAACAAACAAAAAAAAACCTGAAAGGGTGAAATATATAATAACTGTACTATTTGTATTAATTTTAATAAATTTGAACTAAGTGGAAATTCGGTAAACATATATCATTCTTTAAATGCACAATGGGCTTTGTTATTTTATATATCCATCATTAACAGGAAGTTCTAAAGTGTAGGAATGTGTCGGCAGATAAGCTCCTTTACATTAAATCTCATAATAAAGACTGAGAAGGTATTATAGCAATGGGTAGGAGGTTACCCAGCTTATGCAGTGTAACTGTAACAACTTTAAACAGTATAGAGTCTGACAATGAGTGATGAAATAAAATGAAAGAAAGTTTTACATTAATAAATAATGAAAAAAAGGCAATTAGTGATGAGAATCTAAACAGTTTGATTTTCCTTAAAATAAATTGTTTGTGAAAACCATCAGATAAATCTGATTTGGTTGTTTGTTTGTTGTCGTTGAAAACATTGCTTGATCAAGAATCACCTTCTGGTGGTAAAACATAAACTACTCAAATAAGTTTGTCATAGTATGAAATATTTATATATATCTTTCTGGTTTATTTTCCTCTTTATTAGCACAAACTCCTTTTTTCACCAACGCATATTTTTATTCTGCTTGGTTGCACCACCAAAATGCTTCAAAATCTATTTTTAAAAGTTGACACTGTTGCTTCTGGCCTACTTCAATGTTTACTAAAGTTAGCCTTTACAGCAAGATTATAGCACATTTTGTAATATCATTATCCCAGTAGAATTGACAAGTTTTTCCAAGCCATATCTGTTTGGTTGGAATTTGATTTATGTCTCATAAGTGTTTTGAAATTCTGCTAAATAAATCAGCCTTCAGCAGAGTTCATTCCTCTGAAACACCAAGCCCACTGTCCCTAAAAAAACAAACAAGTAAAAAATTAAAGTAAGCTTGCAGAAACCTGCCTAAATAAAGATTGAACAGTAACAGAAGTTACAGTATGAAGAATAGGTCACAACACTGGCTGCAGGAAACGAAAGACTTCTATTTCTTCATAAAGTTCTAACATATTACATGCAAAATGAAAACACTTTCATTACCAAATAATTTTTCAAAATGTACTAATTAAGTTACAGTTGATACAGAAGTTGTAAAAAGTAAAATATTGTCGGTGGAGTACTTGTTGAACTCTTTAACCCAACATGGAGCTATAAATCATGGACTTTACAGTGGGAAAAGAAAGCAAGGAGGGTTGTGTTTGTTTGTACTAGAAATAGCAGTGGGCTGCATTTTATAAACCTTATTAGGTACAGAGAGGAGCACAACACAAGAAAGTCAAGATATATTATGGCCTTTATTAATACGTAATAAATTTCATAGAGAAATTAGTTTGATCAAGAGGGACATGTTCTGGCAATATACAAAGTTATAAATATACATACTGAACAACTGCACAAGTCTACTTGAAAATTGTTTGTTTGTTTCAGATAATGGATAATTGCATGGTTTAAAACATGGTTTACTGTCAATTTCTCAAAATAGATTCATATAAATTCTCCCCTATAAATTTGATCATATAGCTTCGATTCATTTCCGGGTTAATGATCCAGAGTAAAGGGAGGCTGTCTTCTCTGATTCTGTGAGAGAACACAGAGTTACATCCTGGGTTCAGAGGATGTGACTGGTGTGTTTTGGTAGCGTGTAAAAAGATATGAGGGCAACAAGTCAAGAATTGATTTATAGGTAAAACTGTACCAATAACAAACTGTTTATGGAAAAAGATGCCCATTTAACTACAGAATACATAGAGCCATGTTGCTCTTTGATAAATGCTGCTTGATAAGCAGAATCTTATTACTTAAGAAAATTTGAGGTGACAATCGTGTATAAAATGTCCCCATAGTGGAGGTAGTAGAGGTAAAAGGGTGAGATAACACATTATTTCATACATCTAAAATAAAAAAAAAGTTAAATGTTCTTTGAAGAAAGCTAATTTTTTCTATATGCATAACTATCGATCTATCTATATATATACATATATATAGCTAGCCCAGCTATAATCCTCTGAGTTACATGTAATGCAGAATCTGTGGAGAGAGCTAAAGGTGTTCAACTCCATGCAACCTCAGCTGGATTTTCTTTAATAATAAAATGTTAATATTATGCACCAAAGTTGGGTTTACTGCCTAATTCGATTGTTTTGTTTGTCTTTTCTCCCATCTGCTGGACATAGGTGGGATCTGATTTGAATAGTAAGAGTCAGGAAATTCTAGAATTCTATTGCCTGCTGTATTGCATGCAACAAGATAGATAACTATTGAGTGTTAATAATATTGACTGTATTTTCTGAAAGTAGTTGGAATATGAGTCTATTTAGATGTACAGTGCCTTGCGATAGTATTCGCCCCCCCTTGAAAATAACGCCCTTTTGCCACACGTCGGGCTTCAGATATAGAATGAAATTCTTTGTGTAGAATCAACTATAAGTGGGACACAATCATGAAGTGGGACAAAATGTATTGGATACTTTAAACCTTTTTAACACATAAAAAACTGAAAAAGTGGGTGTGCAAAATTAGTCAGCCCCCTTGAGTTAATACTTTGAAGCGCCACCTTTTGCTGCCATCACAGCTGCAAGAAACTTGGGGTATGTCTGTATCAGTTTAGCACATCGAGAGACTTACATATTTTTCCATTTTTACTTGCTACACAGCTTAATCTCAGT